CATTGTGTGTAGAATAGCCAGGAGATCCTACGATTGTCTGGCACCCAGAAGTTCTAGCTCTTTTAGCATTATGCACCCAGTAGGTGGCGAGCTAGACTTGTTTTTAAGGCAAGAGATGTTTCAGAGGTGGTTTGCCATTGCCTGCCTCTGCATCACGACCCTGGTATTCCTTGGAGGTTGCCCTTCCAAATACTAGCCAGGGCCAACCCTGCTTAGCTTCCGAGATCTGATGAGATTGGGCTAGCCTGAGATATCCACGTCAGGGCTCAAAGCTCATTTTGCCAGACACTTACAAAATGTCTGTACCCTAGTAAATGTTGTTGGTCTTTAAGGCGCTACTGGACTCTGCTTTTGTTCCCAAGCCTTGTCTAAGACTCTGACCACTCATGAACACATGAAGCTGCCATATACAGTATTGTCTAATCGACTGGCAGCAGCTCTCCAGGTCTCAGGCAGAAGTCTTTCACATCACCTACTGCCTGGTCCTCTTTAACTGGAGGTGCCTGCAACATCCTTGCTTATTGGGGAGACAGTTTTACCTTTAAAACACTCTCTGTGTACCTAAACTTGGTAGATTTCTGCTGCCACCAGGAATTAAAAAATTGAAATCTCTCTTTTTTGGTAGAATGACCTAGGGTCTGGGCACTTCAGGGGATCATGTTGCCCTGAGGAAGGACTATTCTGATTTCTGGGATAAGTTTAAACAAAAAAATGATTTATTTAATAAAGAACAAAATAGGTTTCTGGTCATTTTGAACTGTTGCTGATGAAAGGAACTTGTAAATATAACTGGCAAAGCTTGGTGCCACAAACAGTCTCAAACTCCCAAAACTCCACTCTTGACAGGTGTAGACACCCAGGGCGATTTCTCACTAGAGCTGCATCGCAGCGCAGGCGCCATTTGCCTCGACACAAACATGTCAATTTCACACCTGAAGCTGCGGGGCTGCATTTTGACTCACAGCTTCGCCCGATTTCCTCCACAGTTTCGTGATCCTGGTTTTTGAGGATCACGAAACTGCGGAGGAAATTGGGCGAAGCCTCGGGTCAAATGCAGCCCCGCAGCCTCGGGTGTGAAATTTACATGTTTGTGTTGAGGCAAACGGCGGCTGCGCTGCGAGGCAGCTCTAGTGAGAAATCGCCCTCAGTCTAATCCCTCTCTTTCTCATTTATATAGCCACACAGGCTGAACTCTTTGTCTTATCCACACAGAATAGACTAAAACTCAATTCACATAGACTAAACTGTTTGTCTAATTCACACAGAGTGAACTCAAAATCTCCCATAGTCTTCACATGTCACACACAGAATCACTCTCATAGACACACCTCCTCCCACACTCTCAGTCACCAGCCAGTCACATCAAATTTGTCTCCCTCTATCACTCTTCTTACCGTACTGCAGTCAAACTAAAAATTTAAAGAAACACACACACCAAAACATGAAATCATTACAGGAAGCATCACAGTGCACCGAGAGGAGCGGGTATGGAGCTGCCTAGCATGATCCTGACTCATGGGGAGAGCCTGGTGTCATCACAGTGTGGGATCTGGTGATGTCACATTGAGTAGTAGTATGATGCATAACTAGGTATTGTACTGCATGGAATCTGTGGATGCGATCGGTCATAGCCATGTAGCTTTCAAGAGATGTGCTGTTTACCACACAAGTAAAAAAACAACACATGGAAGTTAGCTGCGTGCTAAACGTAAAATGTAGTTGAGATGATAGTGCCAGATTATTGCTCTCCACCTCTTATGTGGCCACATCCAGTCACGCACAGAGGCGATCATGTGCCAGCCGATAGGCGGCCCTGAGAGTGAACCTCAGACCTGAGTCTTACTGGGAGACGAACAAAAATGAAGTCCAGGGCTCAGGGAGAGAGTTTTGGTATATTTTTGGTATATTTATTCGTTTCACTATGTTTCCCCGTGGAATTATATCAAAGCAAATGGTGACCATATAAACTAAGCTTGTTATTCCTGTTTGCTCCTTGCATCTCTTAAACACCGTCATTATGTTGTATGCTAATTTACTGGTCACCCTCTACCTATATGAATGGACTGGTAACTTCCATTCCATTGTATCTGAGGAAGTGTGCCTTGCACGCGAAAGCTCATACCTCGAATAAAACTTGGTTGGTCTTAAGGGTGCCACCGGACTCAAACTTTGTTCTGCTGCTTCAGAAGACCACAGGCTACCCACCTGAATCTAGTAACAATCTAAGCAGAGTTTGCCTGCTCAGAAGTCCACTGAAGGCGATGGGCTTGGAAGGGTTTAACTGTGCGTGGGATTTCACCATTAATCTTGTTGGTGAGCCTTTCACTGTTGTCCTTGGCAGCCAAGCTGATAGCTCTGAAGAGACAGAGTTGGCTTCTATAAAGAATTGCAGAGAATTTGTTTCTGAATGAACAGCTTGATGCTGTTCTGATGGCAGAGAATTGATACATAAATTGTAAATAAAACAAGCTATGAAGCCCATATTTGAAGCAACGTAGTTGCTATTTTCTGCTTAACCGAACATGCAGAGGTTACACTAACAGAATGCTCCGAAGATGACTATCAATATGAAGAGGTACTAAATTATCTCTCTCTTTTGCCTTAATTTGTAGTTGCATGCTGCAATATATATATATAGCTGGCAAGGAGGTTGTTTATTTTATTGTTTGTAAAATACGTACATGTAAAATATCTAAAAGTATTTTACAGTCAACAGAGTCGAGATCCATGCTAGCATGGGTGCAGTACCGATGCGCATTCAGATATCCATAGAATCTTCACCCCCAGTTTTTCCCGCCCCCCCCCCCCTCTTCCTGCTGCCCCGATGTCATTTTTTCAAGCTCTGAAGTCATGTAGAGGAGTATTAGAGAGGCATAGACAGGACACACTTCTCTCAACCTTGAAAGTTTCAGTAACTCTCTGGTAGAATCATAGAGTTGGAAGGGACCTCCAGGGCCGTCTAATCCAACCCAACCCCCTGTACAATACAGGAAATTCACAAATACCTTCCCGCCACACACCCAGTGACCCCGGTTCCATGCCCAGATGACAAAACATTTCTAGGATCCCCGGTCAAACTGGCCTGGAGAAAAATTGCTTCCTGACCCCAAAGTGGCGACCAGCATTTCCTGGAAACAATACAGGAAATCAATAATTAATTGCATCAGTGGAATTTTAAAAAATCTAACTTGGTTGGAAAAAAATAATGTTAAATCTTATGTATTTCCTAAAATTTTGTACTTGTTTAGAGCAATTCCAGTGCTGATTCCGAAACCTACATTTAAAAAATAGCAAGGTAATCGGAATAAATTCATTTGGGGAAGCCAAAAATCAAGGATTAGTTTTTTTACTTTAAGGAGACCCCCAAACTTGGGAGGTTTAGCTTTATCAGATATAACCTTATATTATGAAGCTACAATGTTATCTTCCTTAGTGAGAATATTAAAGTCTATACAAAAAAATAGAATGACTGGATATAGAAGAATCATGCATGATCTCTAAAAATACTTTGAATTCATTTGGGCTAATAATAAGGAACATAAGCAAATGACAACATTTTTATACAGGCCTTATTAAAAACATGGAATTCTAGGAGGAGGCATTTAGTCTCAAGTATATCCTTAGTTTCCACTTTCTTAGGGCAAACATGGTCCCCACCAGCCCAACATGTGAATACGTTCCAAATATGCAGATCAGCTAATTTAATCTGACATAACTCATAAGGGACAAATTTAAAAAAATATAAATTGGAAACTAATCAAGTTACCAATTCCATGGTTTGAGTACCTACAATTACAACATCTTCTTAATTCCCCTACAATAAAAAAGACACTCAACAACCCAAGCTCAAATTTCGAGAAACTCTTATTAACACAAGGAATAACGAGGAAAAACTTGATTTCTAAATTATACAAAATGTTATTAGAAAGAGAAACCTTGGACTTACCCTCTTATGTAGCACCTTGGTACTTGGATTGCAAATCAGTATTGTCGCTATCTGAATGGAAATCCACTTGGTCTTCTTATGCTTTTTATACTAAAAATTAACATACAACGACAAAATTATAAGATCATAACTAGATGGTATTTAACCCCATGAAAGCTTCATTGTATAAATAAAATAATATCACCCCTTTGTTGGAAACTATGTGGGTATATTGGAATGTATATCCCTTGATGGTTGGAGTGCAAAGTTATACAACAGTTTTGGCAAGAAATTCTATCTCAAATTAAATATTGAGTGGGATATAAAATCCCTTTCAAACCAGAAGTTATACTATTGAACCAATGGTGAGGAGTTCAAATTCCACAAGATTTATTAATGATTCTCCTAACTGCATCCAAAACAACAACAGCATCGTGTTGGAAAGCTAAAGATAGTCCTACTGTTAAACATTGGTATTTTAAAATTTGGGACCCTTTAATAATGGACAGAATATCAGACACAATTTCAAATTATACCTCATCACTAGACTCTTCAGTTTACTTTGGCCGATGGTTCCCAATTTTGGAAAAACTAGATGACATCTTTGAAAACACAGGTTGTACTCAAAAACACCAATATTACATTTTTAAAAAAACCAGCTGGTTACTTTGACTTTAGACTTTTTCGATGAATAGAATCCAAATGAATACAAGACTATACTTATGTTTTTTTTTACAACGAACCAGACAGGATTCTCCTTTTTTATTTTTTCCCCTTGAATATTAAATATGTATGTAAAGAGATGATTTTGTAATAGTTAACTTGGTGCAGTGTTGGATATTTATGTTATGTGTATTGACATGGTTGTATTGTTCGTTAATTTTTGGAAGATAAAAATTTATATAAAAATGCTATGTAGGATATGCAGTGTGCTACACTTTTAATCATAGTGCTATGGAATTAAAAACAACAACAACGTATTGCACAAACATTTTAGTGAGGTCAGGTGTTGTAAATATTAATTTGTTAGTTTGTCTCTTTTGATCTAAAATCAGTTAAACGTTTTCCCTTAGTTTGTACTGGGTAGTACAGGCCTCTTGTTTGCTCAATCTATTTGGGGCTTCACCTCGAATTATATTTACATAGTTGAGTTACAAGTGCATTCATGTTTTGAGATCCTTGTGTTTTGCAGTGCACCTTAATTCCCCCCCCCCCAACAGATCATATACATTTATGCAATCTTAAAACCAGAGGACCAAAAAGACAATATTAAAAAGTCCATAACATAATCATATACCCTTCAAAATTTCCTCTTTAATGTTCTCCTCTTGCCTGATCACATTCAAATATGTAATAAACAGCTGCCAAATCTTAATTTAAAACTTTTGCACATTCCTTTTCCCATCCTACATTTAGGTAATTGCCATTATCTTGTTCATCATAATAAACCAGCCTTTCTGCACCCATATAAGCATGGGAAGTCTGGGTTGTTGTTTTTCAATTTTGTGCCGAGATCATTCAGGCATAGGTTCTTAACTAAAATTCTAGTTCCTGGCTTCATTTGTCTAAGAAACAGCGCTAAAAGGACAATTTTTTGGATCCCTTGATAAGTTTTACTTTATAGTGTCCTCCAATGTTTTCAATATATTCTGCCAATATTCTCTTGCTATGGAACATTTCCACCATTTTATTTATTTATTTATAATTTAGTTTTATAAATCACTCAATCCCTGAGCGATAAATAACAACAATAATAAGAAGAAGAGAAGAAGAAGAGATTGGATTTATACCCCGCCCTTCACTTGGAGTCTCAGAGTGGCTTACAAACTCCTTTCCCTCCCCCTTCCCACAACAGACACCCTGTGAGGTGGGTGGGGCTGAGAGAACTCTGACACAAACGGCTCTTTTTCAAGGACAGCTGTGCCAGAGCTTGTGACTGACCCAAGGTCACATCAGCAGGTGCAAGTGGAGGAGTGGGGAATCAAACCCGGTTCTCCCAGATTATAGTCCGCACACTTAACCACTACACCAAACTGGCTCTAAAACATATCATCCGAATAATTCCAATAATTTAAAAACTGATTAAAACAATTTCATGAATAACAGTTTTCAGATAGGATTAATACATCTAATTTCGATGGTGTTCCCTTTCGTAGGGGGGTAGGTGGGACCATAGTTGGGGGGGGGAGAAGGAAGGAGGGAGTGCCAGCCAGTATATGAAAAGGGGAGCCCCTCTTACTGTTACCTTTCCTTCCCATTTTTGCAATTCTATCTGAGGTTAAATATTATCTATGTTATTTTAAAATATATTTTATATTAATGTTTGAGGAACATTTTGTTATATTGTTATGCAAAGTGTACCATTCCTCCCTTTAAATATTGATTAATAACTCTTTTTCCCATGTTACATTATAGACCAGGGGAATTTCATTTGTTTTTATTAATACATAAATTAGGAATCTAGACTGATAGAGGTGTGTCAATTCCCAGTTGTTCAATTTCTCAATTCTGGTTTTATCCCATCTAAACCAATTAGAAATCACAGCTAACTTAGAGGCATAATAGTATTTCTCAGTATTAGGAGCTGCCATTCCACCATTTTGCCAAAGCTGTTGTATTATTTCATATTGTATTCTAGCTTTTTTATTATCCCAGATAAACTTAATAAATAGCAACTGTGTTCTATATAACAGAGGTTGATTCACTAGCAACAGAATGGGCATAAACACAAACAAAACTCTAGGTAGAATCTTCATTTTTTGTACAGCTGTGCATCCTAACAATTACGCCAATGTTTTAGATTTTTCTCTGTTTTTTCACTATTGGATTGATACAATGGTTCACCATTGTTTATAAATGATCAGAAAATTGAATACCTGGATATCAGATATTATTAACCTGCCATGCTGATCATACGCAAATGATGATACCACTCTAATGGCAGAAAGTGAAGAGGACCTAAAGAGCCTCTTGCTGAGAATGAAGGAGGAGAATGTAAAAGTTGGCTTGAAACTCAACATCAAAACAACTAAGATCATGGCATCTGGCCCCATCACTCCTAGGCAAATAGAAGGGGAAGTCATGGAAGCAGTGACAGACTTCACGTTCCTGGGATCCAAGATCACTGCAGACAGTGACTGCAGCCATGAAATTAAAAGACGCCTGCTCCTTGGGAGGAAAGCAATGGCAAACCTAGACAGCATAATAAAAAAGTAGAGACATTACCCTGCCTACAAAAGTCCGAATGGTCAAAGCAATGGTATTCCCAGTAGTAATGTATGGCTGCGAGAGTTGGACTATAAGGAAGGCTGAGCGCTGAAGAATAGATACTGTTGAATTATGGTGCTGGAGAAGACTCTTGAGAGTCCCTTGGACTGCAAGGAAATCAAATCAGTCAGTCCTAAAAGAAATCAACCCTGACTGTTCCCTGGAAGGCCAGATACTGAAGCTGAAGCTCAAATACTTTGGCCACCAAATGAGAAGGGAGCACTCACTGGAGAAGGCCCTGATGCTGGGAAGGATTGAAGGTCAAAGAAGAAGGGGACGGCAAAGGATGAGATGGTTAAACAGTGTTATTGATGCAACGGACATGAAATTAAGCAAACTCCGGAGCATGATGGAAGACAGGAGGGCCTGGTGTGATGTGGTCCATGGGGTCGTGAAGAGTCAGACTTGACTGTGTTACTGAACAACGAAAGCTGATCATATGAGGGTGGAGAGCTCTGGTTTAACCATTTGTTTTACATGCAATCCCAACAGAACAGATTTATTAGAACTCATTTTATAACCCGACACCTGACTAAAGTGTCTCAAAGTCTTAGACAATTGCCTTGGTTTTTGCAAGGTACCCTATATTATCTGTATGAACAATTTTGTGATGGGATTTTGGGATTTAATTCTCTAACATTGTTTTTATGTATCCTTGTGGCTAAAACTTAAAAGAAGTGAAGAGTTACAGCCATTAACCTGTACCCTTGCAGATGGGTTTTGAAATTTTCTCCCATTCCAAAGACACTTAACTTCTTCTTTTTTAGTCCAGTGGCACCTTTAAGACCAAATAAGTTTTATTCAAGGTATAAACTTTCGTGTGCACGCACACTTCTTCAAATAGAAGTGTGTGTGCACACGAAAGCTTATACCTTGAGTAAAACTTGGTTGGTCTTAAGGGCGCCACTAGACTTAGACTTTATTCTGCTCTTTCAGACCAGCATGGCTATCCACCTGATTATTTTAGAACATCTTTAAATATTTCCACTCAATTCTATCAAATGCTTTCTCCGCTTCTACAAAATAAAATCTTGTGGGGCGCTGCTGCAATCTGTTAGATTTATCAAGTTAGTAAACCTCATAGTATTCCATCACATCACCTTGTTTGATCTGTTTGCATATATTTGCTCAAAAACCCTATTTAAATGTTTTGCTGCAATTGTTGTTAAAATTTTATGATCAGTAGAAGTGAGAATGTGGCAGTATGATATCACTTATGTACAGTAATATTAGCCTCTTCACATAATTTAGAAGGTAGCCCGGATCCCAGTATCTGTGGAATATAATTTTTCCAAGAACAGGCTTTATTAAATAAATTGGTAAATCCATCTGGAACTGGTGATTTGCTAGTTTTCACATTTTTATTTATATCTGTTATTTCTATTGTAATTTGCTATTTCAATTTTTGTAATTTATTCCCTGTGTTATTCCAGATTTTGGGGGATTGAGTTGGGCTGCAAGAAAATCAGTATATGTTGTAACTTAGAATTTTCCGACATACAAAGTTCTTCAAAGTCATTTTAATTCATTTATTGTTTGTGTTGTCAGTTGTAGAACAAAGCCTGTGTTACTCTTAATTTTCAGGGGCATGGGATTCTCCTTTCCGTCAGCTAAGATATTTTCCAAAAAAACCTACAGGTTTATTTCCATGGTCAAAAATAGTTTGTTTAGAATAAACTAAGGACTTTGCTGTCAGATGGGCATTGTGTTATGTATTATATTTTGGCAGATTTCCATGTGAGTTTATCATGTATATTTCTACTTTCGTTATATTTTGGCTCTTTGTACCTTTCAAGACCCATTTGCAAAGCAACAACAGTAGTTATATCACAATATTGAGCAACCAACTGTATTTCATGGCAGTTCTGTACCTTATGCAGAGGCAAACTTGAATTTGCCATCAAGCCACCCAGAATTTTCTCTCTCAGTTCAAGCTACTAAAACCTGGCGAATAGGGCCATGCACAGACAAGACATCATTCTACAACTCTGGAAAAGCCCCAGGTTTGCAGAAAATTTTGTAATTTTTTTTTAAGTACATTGGGGACTGTGTTCCCTCAAAGCTGTGTGTGAGAGTGGCCGCTCATTAACACAGGAAGCCCCGCTCAGCAGCAGTCTGGAGCTGTGCAGGGTCTTGCCCCGCCCATGGCCCATTGTGAGATTACAGCAATTCTGTTCTGCTCAGGATGTGAACTGCTCTGCTTAGTAGGGGGGGAAATTACAGGGAACATTGATTGTGGGGGGTAATAAAAGCGATACCTACAGCTTAAGTAAGTGCCCCCTCAATGGCCATTGCTAGGTGACCCTGACATTATTGCCAGCTTTCAAGCTTTGCTTTTTGTCAGTAAAAGGCAGGGAAGGGGGCAGCCACCTCATGAAAGCCAGTGTAGTGTAGTGGCTGGAGTTTCACACTAGGATCTGGGAGACCCAGGTTTGAGCCCCCACTCTGCCACGGTGCTCATTGGGAGACCTTGAGCCAGTCACACACTCGTAGCCTCACCTACCTCACAGAATTGTGGGGATAAAACGAAGGAGAAGAGAATGCAGTAAGCTTCCTTGTGTCCCCATTGTGGAGAAAGTGAAGGTATAAATGAAGGAAATAATAAATGTAGCTGAAGATAGGGACAGATAAAAGGTTTGGTGGGTGGGTGGGTGGGAAGGAGAGAAGGAAGCAGGGAAAGATGCAAGTATAGGGTATGACAGGGGGTGAAAAAGAAGAAATAGTGGGGAGGGGTACAGAAGAAAGTGAGGTGCCCCCTCCAAGTCCCTTGGGTTCCCCACCATGCAACTTGGCCCCAGTGCTGGCTAACACTGCCACAAATGGGCTATAGTTTTCATGGGGAGAGGGAAGGAGGAAAAGCAGAAGATGGAACAAATAAAGATAGGTTGGCTGGTGGGTGGGAAGGAGAGAAGGAAACAGGAAAAGGCAGCAAGGAGAGCCTATAGGGGTTTTCTGGAAAGGGGAAGTAACAGAGGAGATGAAAATGAGGAGCCCCTCACAAGTCCCTGTGGGTTTCTTGCTTGTTCTCTCCTACAAAGGAAAGCTGAATTTCCAATTTTGCCTGTGCTGTATTTCCTCACAGAAGCCTGTGCCTTTATTGCAGCCATGTACCGAGGATTTATGTGCACTGACAGTGCAGTTCATTTAACTGGAGGGGCCCAGGTAAATGTGCGTAGTATGACTTTACCTGTTGAGATGAATGCAGAGGTCATTTTTGATGAGGAAGCAAAGATGGCAAGGGGTGTCTGATCATCAGGCCATTGGCCCTTCTACCCAGTACCGTGGCTGGTAAGCGAACTTGTGGGTCTCAAGCAGAGGGTTTTATCAGCTCTGCCACCCAAGATTATTCTTCTTTGTGTGGAGATGTCAGGGACTGAAGCGGGGACCCAACACTTGCACAAAAATGGACTTGAACTTTTCCACTGGGTCTACATACCAAATCATTGCAATAGTCTAATAGAACAAAGTTTGAGTCCTGTGGCACCTTTAAAACCAACAAAGTTTAATTCTTTTTTTTAAAAAAAATCTGTTTTATTTATTTGAAAAAAGATGAAGACAAAAACCATACAACAATGCAGGTTACAAAGACCGCTTAAAAAGGTGAGGTGCATTATACATAGCATCGCAATCATTAACTAAACACAATCTCTGAAAACAAAGTTTAATTCTGATGAAGTCTGCATGATAGCTTATACCCAGAATTAAATTGGTCTTAAAGGTGCCGCTGGACTCAAAACTTTGTTCTGTGCTTCAGACCAACATGGCTACTCAATACTCTAACACGTGTTTTCTTGGACTCACGGGGTTCATTTTACCATGTCTTTACGATTGTGACTTAGGTACCAGCAGATGATGATTTTAGCCTACAAGAAGGCGATGAAGACCTGGCAAAAGCCTTACAGACTATGGAAGACCAGGCTATTGATGCCCAGATTATGGTAAACATTTTGTTCTTCAAAATGGCTGACCAATGTCCTGCTTTACAGTTCATATTGTAAGACTTGTGTAAATAATATGGATAAGTTAACGGGTTTACTTTTATGTCATATAAAGTACAGCATATACTACGGTTTATACACGGGAAGAGAGAGAGCAAGTAATGTTTAAGGATGACAGAGCAAAGAAGTTAGTACGCGCTGAGCGGTTCGATTACTAAAAGGTGATATGGCTTTGTGGCTGGCTCAGAGTGCAATTTACAGCAGAAACATAAGTGACATTTCGAACTGAACCAAATTGAACAATTTAATATTTTCCCCAAGTGTTTGAACTTTACAATGGTGTCCGGAACAAAGGCTGAGATAAACTTGACATTTTGTGATCTTTCATATTCAGATTTGCTGAGTCATCATCTAGTAGCACTGAAAGTAACAGACTAGCCTAAGCGGGAATAAATGAAACACAATCCAATTTCCATGCGACTGGCCATGCTTGAAGGAGCTATCTTGGGCATGCCCAAGGGCTATTCCCCGTGGGCACCCCCCCAGTTTGGATAGCAAGCCCCTGTGCCTCATCACCGCCATTTTTGCCCTCCCCTCAGTGGCTTGCTATGGAGGGCTCCTGTTTGAGAAGCCCAGCTCCCTTGGTCCCTTCCTATCCAAGCCATGCATTTTATAGAATCTCTTGTTATGCATGTGGTTGGGGGGGCTAAGAGGAGAGGGTTGCTTGAGGAGATGGCACACCGTGTGGTTGCCCCCATTTAAATAGCAGATTTTTATGGGAAGAGAAGTCCGAGGACCTACTGCATTTACTTGAAGACAGCCCCTTTATTTATTGTCCATTGCTATTTCCAACTGCAATCGGTAACATTGTTCTTTTATAAACAGACAAATGTATATTTACAGAAGGTAGCTAGGTAGAGAGGTATGTAGAATCAAACTCTTGCTGATGTGGATGTGGACATGCATCTAGATATGAACATAAGAGAAGCCATGTTGGACCAGCCCAACACTCCACACAGTAGCCCAAACCCAGGTGCCATCAGGTGGTCCACCAGCAGGGCCAGAACACCAGAAGCCCTCCCCCTGTTGCCCCTCAAGCACCAAGAGCACAGAGCATCACTGCCCTAGAAATAGTATTCCATCTATACCTTGTGGCTAGTAGACACTGATGGACTTCTACTCCATATGTTTATTCCATCCCCTCTTGAAGCTGTCTATGCCTGTAGCTGCCACCACTCTAAGAAACACTGTATCTGTTTGCATCCACATCATGGGCCTCATCTGGCCACTGCTGAACTGGCTGGATGTGCTTTGGTGTTTATGGAAATACGCAGGCCAACCTCGAGTCACGTATAGCTGTTCAAGGGACTGAGTCCTTATTGTCAGAACTCATTGGGTCCAGTTTTTACTCAAGTAAAGTGCGATCCAGTGCAGCGTTATTACAGTCAGTGTAACCTTGCATGGGATGGTGTTGTGAGGCAGCAAAGAAGAGCTATATGCTTAGGAGAAGTTCCTTAAAAGCCACATGGTGTATTTTGATCCTAAGAAGTGATGAACTGCTGTCATTAGGGGCAAAGACACCAACAAACAGGTGTTATAAAGGGGTTTTTCCTGAAAGTGATGATGAATAAAACTGGTCAAGCACATTTCCAACAGTGGAACCTGATTTTACTTTTGCTTAAGGCTCAACGACCAGGCCAGATAATGAAGCATGCGCTGTCTGACATACCTGAAGCCGTAGATGACTTCCTCTGCAACTTTCTAGTCAGAATGGGGATGAACAGGACTCTAGACTGTTTTCAAACTGAATGGTAATTCTTTCTTTTTAATCTTTCTAGCTACAGATCTGCAGAAAACAAATGAAGTAATGCTTGTGAGCTTTTATTGCAAATCATTATTGCAAATTTTAAAACCTCAGGCACTTATTTTTTTCTGTGTTTTTCCCCTCTTGATAATAGGACAGGTTCTCTATGTGAGTGCAGCCTTCAAACCTGTGCACAAGTCACAGCTGTAAAAATTGTTTACTAAATAGACAAGCGCTGGTAAAGCATAAAGTCTGTAAAAAGGCCTTTTTAAAAAGTTACGTTTCCCCCTCCCCCAAACAGATCAGTCTTATTTGCTCCGCATTCTGAACCAGTAGATGGATTCTCATGATTGGGTCTTCTCTGTGCCTGTAAAATGGGACAGGTGACTCCAATTCTGTACCAAGGAAAGCTGGCTTCTACTACTGATGTCCTTGTCCAGATTAAGCGGATCTATACATCTTTGTTTTTCTGAACTTCTTCTGCCCCAGCTCAGGGGAGGGGCCCCAAAAGTCACAGTGGGCTCTAGATCTGTGCTGCCTGGCAACCGAAAACGCCGCTCAGACTCTGGCTTTTGAAACCTCGCCAGGAATTACCTTCGCACTTTGGATGAGACCCTGTGGTCTGTGAGCAGCCGTTGCAGCCGCGGGAACGGAAAGCCCCCCTTCCCTTTGCTGCTGCAGCTCTCCTGCTTCCCTGAAGTCCTTTTTGCAGGGTTTGGGGGACTTCCTGAAACGGTGCTCGATGCAAAGTTGGGGGCTTCAGTAGAAAAGGGGAATTGGTAAAAAGTTTCCCCCCTCCCCTTTGTAAGTATCCTCTGCATCCTTCTCTGTGACTTGTATTCCAAGATGAGTCCTTGGCATATCCGTGCAAACCTGCAATTTCTCGTGCATTCATTTGTGAAAGCGTCAGTTCGTTTTAGTTGTTCTTATCAGCGTTTGAGAGAAATTCTGGCTATGACCTGTTCTCCTATCAGAAATTCCCAAGAGTAACCTATCCAGCTCTAGGCCTTGACATCTACAAGGGCTGGCTTCAGTGATAAAGCAGAAACCGTCTGCTTCCCTCTACTGTGTCTGCACTGCAGGAGGAAATATGTTGCATGCCATTCTCCTGTTTTAGGCGATGTCCATCTGTTTAGCTCCCAATCCTCTCATATGCATTTCTGCTGTCACTACTTTGTATTACAACAACACAAAATGATTGAAACATATTGGGATTAAAAAATACTGTGAGAAAGCCAGCGTGGTGTGGTGGTTAGTGCAGGGGTGTCAAACATGGGCCCGGATCAGCCCCTCCCCCCCGGAGGGCTTCTATCAGGACCACAGTGGAACTGGCTGTCTTCCGCTTCTTCTTCCAGTTCAGTTGCTGCTGCTGCATCATCGTAGGTTTGCAGCTTACAGATTCACACCTCAACAGCATACTCAAGATTGCAACAGCACTGACATTTTGATGCAACAGTTCAGAGCAAGAGGTGTCAGTTATCAGACACACACTGTTTGATAAACAAAATATTGCAAGAGTGCTGATGTTTTTTATATTATTTTTAATTGAATTTCTTATGTTTAAAAAACAAATTTCCATCATCTCTTTATAGTTACATATTTGCAGATATCTTCATATAATTCAAACAATATCTATATTTTTACACTAGCCATATCTCTTCATTGGATTCAACCAAAATTTGACTCTTTGACCTAGGTGAGGTATAACCGAGCTTTTCTCTTCAATAATGAATGTTAGTTTCTCCATTTCTGCTATATCAAATAGTTTAAAAATGAATTCTTCTTTAGTAGGAGTAATACTATCTTTCCATCTCTTAGCAAATACAATTCTTGCTGCTGCCTGTCAGTATTTGCATAATTAAATATACCTCATTTTTCTTAAACAGATCAGGTATTACATTTAACAATAATTTCTTTTATCATAATCCAGTGTTTTTTGGCTTTGTTGCATGACCACCACATGTGGTAAAAGGTACCAATACAATGCTTACATTTCCAACAGTTTTTCCCTATATTTTTATTATACTGTAAGCAGTGATTACAGGAGATATATGCCAGCTGTAGAACATTTTCACAATATTCTCTTTAAAAGCACTTGTTCTTACAAATTTTATATTTCTCGACCAAATTTTATCCCATTGGTCTAAGTCTAAATTATGGCCTAAATCCTGTGCCCACGCTATCATAGACGGTTTCACCCACTCATCTTGCATTTTCCATTCTAACCAAAAATTATAGGATTTTTTAGTGCTAATGTTTTAAGCATGATTTTATTTTAAGTAAAAGAAAAATCCTTTGTGTTTGTGTCCTTTATAAAGTTTATATCTCTGCTACCTGGCATTACATTTTATGACACATGTGGCCCGGCCCAACAAGGTCTCATTTGTGTCAGATCCGGCCCTCATCACAAATGAGTTTGACACCCCTGGGTTAGTGCATTGGACTGAGTTCTGGGAGACCCAGGTCTGAAACCGCGCTCTTCTTCCACATGGCTGTGGTGATGGGGCCACTCCGAAGAGGACACTTCTAAACAGAAGAACTGGTATCCAGAGTGCCCACAGAAATGACACACTTTTAAGTTTATTTCTCCTGCTAACCAGAAAGAGCTTGAATCCTGTAAAAGCTGTATTCCACATTCCGTGCTACATTTACAAAAATTTAGAATTGTAGATCTGAGGGTACATCTGTGAACAGGCGTTTCCTGAATCAGTGCTTGCAATATTAAAGCGCCCGTGTTTAATAGCTTGTGGGTTAATGTCCTAAACATGTATTTCATAAATGTTTCTAAATTGCTTTTAAATTGTTAATTGGCATCATTAATAAGTAAAAGCAAATTACAGTTATCAAATTTTCTTTGAACACGTATCTTTCTCTTGCTAATATAAAGCAGATCCATGCTGTGATCAAACTCTAATGGGATTTGAAATGAGAAAATAATTAATGCTGAGAAAGTTGATTCATTTACACCTATAAGATCTTGGCTCGTTTATTAAATGACCCTCTTAGATATGAACGCCTGCTTAAGAATTAATTAAATTAGGCAAGTTAATTAATGTATTTATATTACAGCTTGTGAATTATTTCGACTAGCTATTTAGATATAGAAGCTTCATCTTTTACTTTCAGATTAATGTTTTAATAGAAGATTAAATAATGACAATATTTTCTTCAAAATGGTGAGTGGTACTATATTGCAGAAATACAGCCTTTAATCATTTGATCAAAAGTAACACTTCATAATGTTAAAAATGTATTTATTTATACATGTGATTTCAAATGCCTAATTAGTAGTAATGGGAAATTGAAATTTTGGGGGGCATGGAGGGTAAATACCATCACATTAATCTGCTATTAAAGAGAGAGTACATTTTTCTCTAAATCAGGTGGGAACTCTGACTGTTAGACATTTGAAATTATACTTACAAATACCTCTTGAGTTTAACTTTATTAAGCTTTATTAGTTTTAAAAGTCATTTCCATCCATGTAGCAATTGCCAGCAGGGCTCAACTGACAGAGCAGAAGAGTAAAATCTGAGGGTTTTATTTATTTAAAATATTTATGTCCCAACATCCCCCAGATGAATGGTCTCAGGGCTGCTTACAATCCCAAATATAAAAACAGTGATAACATAACAAAAACACTGAATAAAATCTCCCAGCAATACCAATCAGAAAACATTATATTCAAAGTAAATAATCCCCACCCACCCAGTATTAAAAAAAACACTCAAACTATTTAGACTCATAGAGTTGGAAGGGACCTTCAGGACCATCTAGTCCAACCTCTGCACAATGCAGGAAATTCACAAATACCTCCCCCCCACAACACCCCCAGTGACCCCTGTTCCATGTCCAGAATCGACAAAAAAAACTCCAGGATCCCTGGTCAAACTGGCCAGGAGAAAAATTGCTTCCTGATCCCAAAGTGGCAATCAGCATTTCCCTGGACATGTAAGAAAGGGCCACAAGAACTAAGCACTGAGGCAACCCTTCCTGCCCTCCCTCTCATGATCTGCCTGAGTTTGCAGAATCAGCATTGCTGTCAGATGGCTATCTAGCCTCTGTCTGAAAACCTCCAAAGAAGGAGAGCCCACCACTTCCTGAGTGTTATGTATTGAAAACTATGTTAAGCTTGAGTCTGAACCAGGATTGTAAATAGACCAATCAGAGCTGCGAAAGTTCCGGAGGGAAGCCCTGAGCCGCTTCGGCGGGAGGGCGGGATAAAAATCAAATAAATAAATAAATAATTGGACAGTCTATTTACAATCCTGGTTCAATTTCAAGCTTAACATAGTTTTCAATACATGAGGTATAACCAGAGCAGTGTAAAGCAATACCACCACTTCGTGTGATCTGGACACTATACTTTCATAGATAAAGAGGTGCAGGAGCTCATTAGCATAACTCAGCAGAACTTATTTGCATATGCCACACCCCATAACATCACCGGAAGTGTGTCAGAAGGCAACACCCACCGCTCAGGCTCCACTGGACTGGGAGGGAGAGCTTGTACCTGAATAAAACCTAGTCTTAAAGGTGCCATTGGACTGTTTTGGACCAGGGGCCTGGGGGGGGAGCTCTGCAACTTACCTGGCTGCTTCTTGCTCTGACTGAGGGCTGCTGGGAGCAGGGGGTGGTGCTTGTTGCATGTGCCCGCCCCCTGGGCTCTTTACTGCTGGAGCTCCGCTCCTGTGCGCTCCTGCAGGAAATGACCCCTGCTTCTGTTAATACAGCCCAAAATGGCATTTGCCTTTTTACCTACGGCATCACAATGCTGACTCATGTTCAGTGTATGGACTACTGAGACCTCTAGATCCTTTTCGCACATACTACTGTCAAGACAAGTCTCCCCCATCCTATAATTACGCATTTGATTTTTCCTACCTAAATGCAGATCTTTACATTTATCCCCATTGAAATTCATTTTCTTTGTTTTAGCCCAGTTTTCCAGCCTGTCAAGAACATCCATTATATTTCTAGATAGGGAGTCTGGAATTTTGCACTTCAGTGTCTAATTACAAAAGCCACACCACAATTGTGACAAACAAAACCATGCTTTATACCATTTAAATGGTTCCATAAATCAGTTTTGTAGAATTTAACATTCCATTGTCTAAATTTTAAAGGGGAGGAAATAGTGGAAAATCATGATGAGGATGCAAAGAAACATGTCAGTTGTCCTCTGGAGCAGGCTGAGGAGTGTGTTAAATCCTCTGATTATTAGAATTCTTTTTGAGATTTCACTTTCTTCTCCAAGATTCATAACTCCTTTTTCTTGGATTGACATGTTTTAAATCTCTAAAACCTTTTTGAAGTATATTTGTTGAAGGCTTTCACAGCTGGAGTTCATTGGCTGTTGTAGGTTTTCCGGGTTGTATGGCCGTGGTCTTGGCATTGTAGGACCTGACGTTTCGCCAGTAGTACTGGCAAAACATCAGGTCCTACAATGCCAGGACCACGGCCATACAACCCGGAAAATCTACAACAGCTAACTTTTTAAAGTAGATTGCTTAAACTCTCATAGCATTGATTCCTTTTTCTGACCATGCTGCAATTTCTGTAAACATTCCGTTTGACGGTAAAATTGAAAGAACCCGGTGTTTAAATAATGAATTTTTTTAAAGGGTGCAAATTGAATTAATTAACAGAGTTTTTCAAGACTAAAACTCAGGCAGGTGTCTCTGATGTTACCCTTTGGAAAGCAAGGAAAGGATATATTAGGGGGATTGTGTTGTATGATGTTTTCTGGTTAAGGAAAGAGAAAGAAAAAGAGTTGTCTCAGACAGATAAAAGCATCGGAGAGTAGATATAAAAGCGACCTGAAGGAAGAGACATATAATGTACTAAACAAGGGGGAAAAGGATATTTGAAGGAATGGAAATAGAGAAATGGAGTTCCTTGAATCTGGTAGATAAGCAGGTGAACTTTTGGTGGCGAGAGTTAATGTGTAAAGCAAATGAAGCAAATGTACCAATAAGGAACATTTATTTTCTTTTTCTTACGAATTTGCAGACATTTGCTCGAGATGCTACACTTTACATTAGATGCCAAATGCTCTGCAGCCTTTCAGATTTTTAGAGCCGCTGAATTATGTGTCCTTTTGTCTGTGGCTCGAGGCCTTAAATTGTAAGAGATTGACTCATCATAGATTTAGATTGGGTTTGAAAATCTCTGTCTGCTTCATTGCCTTAATATTCTTGTACTTCCGGTAGACCTTAATCTACACTGGGATTTGAGCAGAACGCTCAGATTGGCACAGTCTTCCTCCTGTGAACTCCCTGCAGGCATTACCCCCTCCAGTCTGTTAAGAAGCGCAGGTTTATGGAGGAGCCTTGCTCTGGGTGCCCTCTTTTTAACTGGGATCCGGTCTTATATTACTGGGAGCAGAGATGCCTCAGTCGTGCCTTGGGACCAAGAACCAGAGCCAAGTGAATACATGAAACCGCCTTGTACAGAACCAGACCCTTGGTCCATCAGGGTCCCCATTGTCTACTCAGACTGGCAGCGGCTGTCTAAGGTCTCAGGCGGAGGTCTTTCACATCACTTACGGCCAGATCTTTTGACTGGAGATTCCGGGGATTGAACCTGGGACCTTCTGCATGCCAAGCAGGTGCTCTACCACTGAGCCACAGCCCCACTTTACAGCTTTTATGGGTCTCAGGCAGAGGTCTTTCCAATCACCTCCTGGCTGGTCCTTTTCAACTGGAGATGCTGGGGATTGAACCCAGGACCTCCTGCATGCCAAGCAGATGCTCTACCGCTGAGCCTCAGCCCCTCTTTATAGCTCTTATGGGTCTCAGGCAGAAGTCTTTCACATCACCTCCTGCCTGGTCCTTTTCAACTGGAGATGCCGGGGATTGAACCCAGGACCTCCTGCATGCCAAGCAGATGCTCTACCGCTGAGCCACAGTGCTGTGTCCAGAGTGTTGGGCTGAGGTCAGAGACAGCTGGGTGCCACTGTCCACTGGTCCATGAGGCCCATTGGGGGGGGCAGTCTTCATCCCATCCACTGGGGTTGCTGAGAAGGTAAAATGGGATGGGAAGGAGTTACACTCCCCTGCAAGGGTGTGTCCAAAATGTCATAATAGAAACTCAGAGGTTCACCAGGTTGTAACTTTTAAGCATCAGGTAGGGAACACCTCTCCCACCCCCAGCTTTTAGTATTTAGACTTGCTGCTGCATGCAATGGATTTATTTAATATGATGCTGTTTTAGATTATTGAGCTATTTCTGTCTTTATGCTTCAGGCAGAAATGTGATTTACAAGCCTCATAATGAAATGACTCCCTTCGCGGTGATGCCAGAAGCAGTCGGAGTCGCTTCGTGTTGCACTGACCTTCCTGAAATGCTGTAGCACTTGCTACACTTGCTGTAGCTGATTTGTGTTAAACATAATGAATGACATGATCTTTTTTTAGTTTCCGGAATTCTTGATTGCTGTTAATAATCTCTTTCTTCTCAGGATTCCGGGGCTTAAATCTGTAGGCAATTTCAGTTCAGATTGTGGAGTGTTTTGCAAAGAAGTCTTAAAAGGGGGCATGGGACGACCGGCCCGTATTCCGTATACTCCACGCTTTAATCCACGGTTGGGTGGACTTTGGTCGTGGGTGGTCTGTGTTCTTTACCCCATTGTCTGATATGTTTATAAGTCACAGCGCAAGAGTGCAGACTCAGAATCTCTTCCAAATATGTGCACTTTCAGGGAATAACATTAGAAACACCTTGCCCTTTGAGATCTGGGTCCACTTACCAGCTGATCTCATTTCTCCTTTCCAAAGTTCGGTGAAACCGTAAGAGCTTAGTAGTTGCCTGCAGTCAGGAGCTCATTGAGTCTGTGCAGCATTGGTGCACTGTCGTCGTTCTTTGTAACAGAATTATAACTTTCCCCCTCACTTTCTGGGAATTCCAAACTTGTTATAATTGCACTGTAAGACATTCCCTTTCATCCCCCCCCCCGAATTATCTCAGAAGTAACAAGGCAGTATTTGAATGGTATTCT